AACAAAGCACGTTCATACGATTCACAAGGTATACACACTAGATCTATTACCTCCAACCAACTATATGATCTTGTCAATTCATATGTTGCGAAACCTCCTTCTACATTCTGCATATTATGTCAACAAATATTCTCCTCAGGCTAACAAAAATATTCAATGATAAATATCATTTACATTTGTTGCTTGAATCCATGAATCTTAATTTACAGAAACATCACGGTTAAACCAGTCAAAACAGGGGCCTGTGTAGTTCATCCCGTTAATTTTCCAAACAGGATGTTCATGGTCCTAAACTAGGACCGTTTGAACCGCGATTTCTTGCCCAAACTGAAATTTGAATTTTGAACAGGTGGCTCACGTTTCTGAACCAGAACCGGATGAATTGATGGATTTTCCTCCTGAACCGTCTGAAAAAGTTCATGATTTAGTATTTGAATTCAGCTTCTCTTTCAGACTGTTCAGGTGGGAAAACTGGCGGCTTAAGCCATGAACTGTCCAGAAACTTTTCAACAGCCAGTTTGGGGGAAAAAATGGGGATGAATCAGAACAATCCCATGTTTACCAAAACCATGGTCAACGGTTTGGCCCTGTGGTCACATCTATTCCAAACACAAAGTTATCCAGCGACAATTTGTAAGATTTAGTTTCAATGAAAGACACTTTTATTTACATGTTCATGATTTAATCACATATGTGCATCAGGCTTACACTACAAGCACAGAAGTGGCCTACCTGTAGTGAAAGAATAACATTCACAGCATCGTATAACCGCTTGGGATCAAGTGGTTCACCAACAACTTCATTTGGTAACTTTGAAAGCAACAGAACTGCCTGAAATAACAGACTTGGGTTACCACGATAGTTGTAATATATCAAGAAAATATTGCGTAGGATAGTAGTAGTAGAATGAATAAAAAAAGATAAACACTCTTCAGATAAACTTGTTACTTTCAGTCCCTCAGCAGTGCAATCTGAAATAGGCCAACCATGGTCTGCAGTCGAAAAAGGCCAGGCACCTTTGGAAATGTGACGATACCAATCATCAAGATTGCCTGGGCAATCATCCAACACCTTTAAAATCAAAGGTAGAGAAATTATAAGATCATCAACATGAACAATAGAAGTCATATCAAGAGAAGAACAGAAAAAAAATCGGACGAACCTGTGAATTCTTTATGTATGTATGAGCTTTTCTTAGTGTTTGCCCGAATTCGTCAACAAGTTTTGTTGAAATTATAGCTTGAACAGCAAAGGAAGTATCCCACAACTGACTTCCATTGTATCCCTAAAATAAAACATGTTACTTAAGAGTGCCGTTTTCTGAAATAGCTCTTCGATGGAATAAAACTTCACAAAGTCAAGAAGGATAAGAAAAGAGCAGAATGGATTTGAAAAGAAACAATATGATAACCATTTGCAGAAATCAAAACACATTATCAAGCATAACAAAGAATGTAAGGTGACCTAATAGAATGCATAAATAATTTTCCTTGTTGTAAAGACGTCAATTTAGGCAATGTTTTTGGACAGGGATAGTAGTATAGGCTAGACCTGTACACCACCTCGTTCGAAGCAGGTTCTGCAAAGTAAATGATAGATATAGGTGATGGAAGTTCAAGTCCAATTGAGTTTGCACTGGCTTTATAGTTTTTTTCCATTTAGTCTTCCTTCCACCATCACAATTTGGCTCTTTTCCTGTTTTTCTCTTTCCCTTTAATATTTTCATTCTCTCTGTTTCTATATTCGTTAGTTGGAATCTTTTGGCTGATTTTCTTCTTTCTTGAATCCTTTATTTCATTTCAGATACTGATGTTCTTTCAAACCTTTGCCACCCAGAACTTCTTTGTTTATGTGTAAGATCTTAGGGGCCCATTTCTCGGAGAATGGGCCCCTAAGATCCAACCTGAAAACACTAGCAGAAGAATAAAAACATTGCATTGCCAACTCATATGTACGTAGATCCAACCTGCATTTTCATTCCATCTTCTGCAACCCACAGGTAATCATAGATTCTTGGAAGGTGCAACTTGAAAGCTTCAGAATTAGGGTCTTCCACCCAACAGCAGAGCATATTCAGCACCTGAAATATTGTTTGAGGAATACACATGAGATAGGAATGATGTGTATTATGAATTGCCACTTCCATTGATGAGTAAAGTTAAAAGAAACAAAAAATCAACCAAAGAAACAACAAGAAAAAATATGAGGGAGCCTCTACAAACATATTATCCTTCAAAATGGGAAAAGAGCTATGGAAACATTGATGTAACATGTCACCGCCATTATGAAAAGCAACAGTTGTTTGTGGAAGAAACATTATTATAAATTTCAAATGTGTTGCTTCACTTTTTGTAACACATGTACCATTACTCACGACTGCTAATGATGTGTGTGAACTGTAAAGCATACCTTGTTTACGGGGCCAATGCATATGTAACGAGTGTTTTCATCCTCATAGTGTATATGCTCCATAACAGTATTAAGAGCTCTCTCTCTCAACTTCTTCCCTGGCCAATTTAACATAATAGGTTCCACAAACTTGTGAAGAGATGCCCAAAGTATATCCTGTAGAACAGGGTGTGGGTAGTATAGATCTTCCTGCATAGGAGAGAGACAAAAGAGGTTCATCAACAAACAGAAAAGCACAAGTAATATCTATGGAAACAGATACAATGGAACACCTATCATGCAACCTATAAATAATACACCTATTCAAACTGTTTTGCTTATGGTTCAGATTGCAGAATGTGAAACCTGTTTGTAGGAACAAATATATGATTAGTGCCAACCTTCGCACACTCGTTGCGAGCTTTATTCCAGTCTATTTCATGGTATGGAACTATATAGAGTTCCTTCCTCAGAGAGACAATTGTGGGGGTGATTGGACCAACAAACCTTTTCCCATACAAATAGGACATGGGGAGATAAACCATTCGACAATGACACCACATCCTTCCTGCAAAATTAATGACACTGAACTTCTGTTTCTCAAGCAAAACACCATTCTGACCGCATTATAGAGAAAAAGAAATACTTCCTGTTAAATCAGGTAAAACCTCAAAACACATGTGGCACCATATAATTGGGGCATTAAATTAGAATGGCTAGTCTCAGATGAGAATATGCTTCTTTAAAATAACAATGAGATCTTATAAGAGCTATGTTTGGACTTTCCAATCTGTACAACTAACAGAGAGGTACAATGCGAAAGGTAAAAAATTGCAGATTCTTTAAACTATAGATTATATGATTAGATTTAGTTGACTTATAAATATTAATAAACCTGCTTCAATCGTCCCTCATTATCTCTGTCGGCCTAAGAATCTCTACTTCACTTTAAAAGGCCTTGAGAAAATGTCAATTCACATTATGCATGAATAGTGATCAACTTAATACCACCAAGGGCAGGGTAAGAACTATCCTACGAGGGTAAAATCAGTAGATGCATCTGTACTAAAGTACTAACAAGGAAAAAATATGTGATTACACATTGATCTTCTCAGGATCAACAAAAGAGTTCAGATACGCAGAACTAACCATTCTTCATTTAAATAATTTGTTTTAACTTTAAAATGCATGGGCTAATATAAGTATTACAATAACTCTCGAAACAAAACAAAAAAAAAAAAAAAAACATAAAAGATGTAAAATTATTACTAACTCGCATATAACTACCTGGATGGAATGGAAGAATCCATGGAAGAAGCCATATCTCGGGTGGCAAAGGATTGTTTCCAGACCATTCGAAGGCCCCCAACACCTAAATCATATGAGAAAGAAAAAGTATAGTTGTTAACGCAAATTATTCCATTGGAGAAATCACATGAAAAAACAAATGAGAATGAGTTTCTAACCGAAAGCCACATCTTTCCCCAAGATGTTATTGCAGTAGCACCACCATGATTCAAAATCCAGTCTCGACCTTTCTCCATTGATCCATCTCCATCATTTGGTCCTTCACCAAGCAATCTCAGAGTAACGTAGGTCAGAACAGAACCAAACATGGTGCTTGGCCCCTCAATGTGCAGACCCCATCCACCGTCTCTGTTCTGTTAAATTAGCAGTTGAGAATATGTTTAAAGCGCAAATATATAGACAAAGGTAAAGTGCAGATAATTTTGAATGTGTCATTCTTCAAATGTATGCACAAAACTCAACTAAATAGTAGATGATATTTTATTCACTCGAGAAGTCACCATCAATATGTATTCCAGATTCAGTGTTTCACCTGATGATTGTAGAGATAGCGGCAAATCTCACGCTTGTGCTCCTTCGAAAGTATTGCATTTAATGCCCCAGTAACTGATAATGTAATAACCTGTTCCATAAAATGGTATGAAAACGAGGAAAGGTGAGGTTGAAAAACAATGACTGATGCGAGAAGATTTGTCAGAATTCCCGTTATTGGATGCCTTCTATATAGGTGACAACTTCAGTAACTTCATAAAGCAGGAAAACACAAATATACAGCAAGTTAACCAAATATACCATCAGATATACTAAAGGTTCATCAAAATCTTGAATTCAGATGGGAAATCCCCCAAAACCAAATCTTTTATTTAGATAGAGGTGACGCATACAGATATAATTTATGAAGAAATTGGATTATTACAATATTTATATCCTTTAGCATGTTGCAGAAATTTAAGTTTCAAATGCAACTGGAAAGTTGTAAATGAGTATAAATAAGTATCAACTGTTTTCAGCCTTCCCTCCAGACATCTAGATTCAAGTTTAGCCCAAATAAATAGATAAATAAATAATAAGAACATAATAATCAACACTCACCAGGCCAGGCATAAGAAACATAGGGCCTCCATAGTCGCCTGGCCAATGACCATCATGGGCCTGCAGAGTTGAATAGAAACTGATGGCCCTCCTTAAAGTATTGACTACTTTATCTTCAGTAACATCCTCCAAATCTTTCACTTTTACTTGGGGAAAATTTGTGTTGCTCGGATTATCCCTTGAAAACTAACATACAAAATAAATCGAAACTAAAAGTAAACAACAAAATTCCACAAGGTGTTAATAAACCGAAAAAATGGCTACCAAAAGTTAAATTGAGATTCAACAATCACTCAAACTTCAGACATTATAAAGTAAATCACTGAAACCTTTATACCCAATTTCGCTTAGTTTCATCAGGCATTCTTTACATTAACATACATAACAAACATATGTACCAAAATTGTACACAACTTGACAGAAGAAATATACAATTTAAATAGTGGAGCATGCTCTTTCAAGTGGAAAGTATGAAGAAACAAAATGGCCCCAAACTACAGGGCAACCATTTAGCCATATGTAATAATTTACTTTGGCATAGAGCCAATGACGATGAACTTAGCTTTACATAATTTAAACTAAACAGTTCTAACTTTGGCCTGATATGGCTTTTCAGTAGCCCGTAATTGTTAAAAGTTTCTCAAAAACCATTATGAATCATGAACTCTAGACTAACAAATTTCCTAAATGATGAAGTAGAAAAAAATTACCTTTTCCATTACTAAGAACCGTAATATTAGACCCGTCTATTGTTTCGTTCCAAAAAACAGGTCAATTCTTAGAAATTCAAATAAACCTATAGCTGAATTGCGTTTGACTTCTTAAAACGGAAAATCTGCCTAAATTCTTGACTTGTGCCGGACGATACAGAACTGACTGTTCAACAGAAGGGAGATCAATTACAACAAACTTGACAATGCATTAAAATGTTCCTGAGAACCTAAAAAACTAAAAACATCCCATCCCCATCAAACTCTGTCCACTTCATTAAAAGAACAAGTAATAGAAGTAACACTGGCAAATATAGATGCTCGTAAAAGTTTGTTTTAGGTTGTCTGTATAAGGGATTTTATAATAAATTTGACAATGTTTCGCAAGTTCATCCTTTTATGCAAAATGAATCTGCAATGCATTTACGCTATTCCTGATCCCAAATCCCAACTCATAGTTAAGAACCAATTAGTTGTGGAAACAGCATCTAAAAATAAGATCTACCTCGTTGAATTACTCACACGAACTGAGTCCAGAATCACAAGGTATGGATGTTAAGGTCACAAAGACCAATCACCATCAGCTTAAATAAACAATGACAGAAGTGGCAATAAATCTATTGCGTCACACACGGCATCTTGCAAGGGATGAAGCTAAATAAGAGTTTCACTAAACCTGATGTCTCATGAGAAGATCAGAAGAATGCTTCTTCTCAAAGCGAAGACTATGAAATTCCTCGCGAAGCTTCTCAATTTCAGCCAGGTCTTCAGGAGAACCCAGATCCGGATCAAACTCCCATATTTGGCGGCCCACGTGTCCATTTACTGAACGCAACCATGGGTTTGATCCCTCCGCAACTTTTAATTTCCACATGATAAAGTTCTATAACTCTCTCTCTCTCTCTCTCTCTCTGATCGTCT